CACCTGCCAATATCGCACACTTCCAAAGCAAGATGTTGTCAGTATAGGTGGCGTGGAACGAGAAGCAAAGTATACTTGCCTCGCGCTGCGATTCGGAAGGCTGACGGGACGGCTCGACATCGGTCCCGCCTAAAGCAAAGCTTTGATCATGGCATCAGCATCGCCGTAGTTGCAATGATGAAAACCACTCACTGAGTCTCAGAAGGCATTGGGATTGACGTGGCTGATTTTGCCCGAGTGGCGGACGGGGATGATGTATGCCGTAGTGGATTGTGCTCTGCCACTTGATATACCTTCGCCAAGAGCATTTCTCTGTTACGATGGGCGGGGCTGAGTTTGTCCTTACACAACTTCGGGCGGATTGCCCGATTCTACTCTCACTTGGACACCCTTAGTCCGTCCACTTGGACACAGCTGGACACGAGAAACGTATAGTACACAGCCAACCCGTATCTGCATACTTGAACGACGCAACTTACATGATGCACTCATATGCATCCGAGGCATGCGTAGATCCGCGCTCATCGCGAAGTTGATTCCTTGCGCTGAGTGGACGCAGACACCGCCAAAACGGTTTGAAGTGATTACTGTGGGTAAAAAACGACCATGTCTCGCGGGTCCGCTACGGATTGTGCGATCGCGAGTTCATTCAGGAAGACGCGTGCTGACGTCCGAGTAATCGGAGCACTGGCGGCAGGATTAACGACATCAGATCTGCTAGCAGCGCTTTCGAAAATGAGACAGTCTCTGGGAGCTCTCATTCGGGTGCATACCGGCGGGAACAGTCACCGACAGAACACATGCACACGGGCAGTGAGTCGGATACCGGCGTTGTGTTTGAACATTGAACATTTAATTTGAACGTTGACGTCGACTGCAGTGAGCGCCGAGCGCCAATTTGAAGCGGCGACAACAGTTGCGACAGGCGCCCAACAGCCGTCTTGTTCTCAACTTTGTCTTCGTCGCTCCGAGTCCTTGGGCAGGTACACAAATTCCCCGGAGATATCCAAATGCCTAGTCATTACGCAATACCATCGTGCAGATGGCCACCTTCATACCAAATGCTGCTCCTTGCATTCGTTAGAAAGAGCAATCTGAAGCTGACCTTGATACTTGAACGACGGTCATGGTATTGATGGCGTGTGGGGGGGTTCGGACTGACTTTTGCTATAATGAATGGCCTCAACTGGCGCTACGCGGATCGCCTTGGAGCGCCCTTCCAGATCCTCTGCTGCATGAATCTGCTGCGGGTAGTTGCACAGTTTTGGTCAGGAAAGCACCTGGACGCTTTGAGGCTTGCGACGCCAGACTTATCCGGCCTGCCGGTTAGTCATTTGTTCGGCCAGATCCATACGCGGAGAAAATTAACAGTCCTTTACTACGGCGATAGTTGAACTTGATGGTGTACAGCCTATTGACGCGACGGACACCTTCATGTGGATGTTATGTAGCGCGGAGAAGGCGATACGGACACTGTATGCGTGTCCACAGGGGCCCCGTAGTGCTTTCAGCCAATCAATCTTACAGGTATGTTCACGAGGATGTCCACAAACAGGACTAGCGCTTGATATCATGAGATAACCATGGGCCTTCCATTCTGTTAGCCCGGGCTGGATCTGATGCCACATGGGGGCGTGGTGGCAAGGTTTACATTGTACAAAGTGGGAGAGCGTCCTTGAACTAGTCTAGCTTGCCACGACAGATACTAATCGAGGGACTTTGGTTACAGAACGATCTACATGGGTCGAATACCCCAACCTTAGATCCAAACTTTGCCTAAATCTGCCGGATACTGTGACGTCAGTCTGTCAGATTTGGAGAAGCACCGTTGCCTGTGTCCAATCTGATAGATGTTCCTAGACATACAGTTTTCGTGCTTCTGATATTGCCGCCACCGACTTTGGATTCTTGACGTCGGCAACCGCACTGCGTACTCGGCTGCCCACCACGCGTTCAAAGCCTCTGGTAATACTGATGGCCGTCATCCCATTTCCGAATTTCATGTACCTTTGGAGTTGAAGTTAGCATAGACGGCCCTCACTGACATCGTAGTTTCTCATCCTCCGATCTCCGGTCAAAGTCTCGATTGCATCGTCTACGTGGTATCGCCGTGACCTGCGGTCGGAAAAGAGGCGTTTCTCTTGTCAGGGTTTTTTTCCCGCTGATTTATGTTGTGTATTTCGCGCTGGGATAGCACTGTCTCCCGCGTACAAATACTCTACGATTCCCTGGGCCCTTACTCATCGATCCACTCACCTGCCATCCCTTCCATCAGCAGACACCTGTGCATCTCACTCATGTCTTCCGCCATGCATTCCACATCGTACGTCTCCCACTATTCAGTGTACTTACAGATCAGTGTCTGATCCTTTTCATTGCAGCGTTGCCGTCATCGAAAAACCAGTTGGTGCCAATATCCTGAAGGACTCGGTATGCTGCCGTTCCTACACGGCCCGACCTTACGCTAATCGTGTTTGCAGTCTATCGCATCCGTTTGTCAGGCCACTATCGGTCGATTTATCGACGAGGCCAAAATCACCTTCCCCGAATACACTCGTGACCTTGAGCTTGAGGCCCGGGTGAAGGAAATCATTCACTCATGGGGAAACGAGCAACACCTTCGCCACTACGTGATCACCGCTCTCATCCTCACCGTCACGGCATACAGCCATATCACGAACATGGACACGAAGGTACTAATCACACTGTTCACGACGATCATTATCGCGATGGACGATCCCGCCGTGCTGGACTCGCTCTCATTCCGCGACTTCCACCAAAAAATGTGCACGGGTGCCGTGCAGCAGGACACTGGTATGCTAGGCGAGTTCACGCAGCTCCTTAAGCAGATGTGGGACCACTATTCCGCATTCTCCGCCAACTCCATCTACGCCTCCGCGCTTCGATTTGTGAACGCGTCCATCCTGGAGAACGACGCGGCAACGGTCACGTTGAGGAAAGACGCGCTGCCGTTCGTCGAGTACAAGCGGAGCATGACCGCGACTACCGAAGCGTATGCTTGTTTCGTCTGGGAGAAGTCCAGGTTTCCGGACATCAAGGAATACATGCAAGCCATCCCGTGAGAACCGTTCTGCCCTATTTTGTCAAGTATATCGCCTCACAGTTGTTGTTATTTAGCGACGTCATGCTCTATGTGAGCTACGTAAAGTAAGCAAGCGTGAACGATATACAATGGAATAAGGACTGATTTGGATTCCGAGCAGCGATATCCTCTCGTTCTATAAGGAAGAGCTCGCAGGCGAGACCGGCACTTACATACACGAGCGTGCAGCCATCTGTGGAAAGTCTGCTGCAGAGACACTGAATGACGTTATCGACGACACCCTGGTTGCAATAGCGCGAGCCCGCGCGACCCTCGGAGAGGGGCCAGCCAGGGACGCGTTTGAAAATTTTGCAGCAGGATATATCAGGGTGCACACCGGAAACCCTCGATATCGGCTCAAGGATATACTTGGAGGAGAGTATATGATGAGTATTAGCAACTACTAGGCACTGTTTTCGAAGATATATATGTATTTATTCAATTGTAACGATAGGAGATTTTTGGGTTACCTTCAAATGACCCTGACTGCTAATTACCGCGGCAGTGCTCTGAGCAACTCCGAAGCGAGTGTCCTAAGACCCAGCGGCAAGTGTTCTGGGAGAACATTACATTGCCAAGACTCGCATAGGAGTTGTATCACGCAGGGGAGTGCAAGAAGCGTTGCCTCAAGGAGAAGCATTATCATTTCGGACCGGTAGACCGCCCGACCGCTCCCGAATACAATTCAGCCAGTGGCAGTTCAACGTGCAACAATTTGCGCTGCTCTAACGCCGCTACTGATACCTCCGCTTACTTATCTTTCACATTACGATACCAATGTAATGATTATCACAGCAATGAAACGGCGCTCACCAAATTCCGCCTGGGCCTGCAGCAAGGTGGATGCGTGCAGTCATCCGCGAGGGCGAAATAATAAGATGTGTGTATGGCGAGGAAGTGATTCAACATCTCTGCCGGAGATGCATATCCCGAGTTGAGTATGGGGTCCAGGTTCCTTGAAGGAACTGGAGTTGGGCCCTGCCAGTGTTTAACGGTTGACCCGTCCCCGTACGGGATGGATCCATCCATCCCTAGGGGCCGGATGCCCTAGAATAATAACTATTTTAATTATTATCCTTTCTTTATAATTATTTTAATTGTAACCTGCAAGTGCTGAAAGGGGGAACCGCCGATCGCGATCGGACGACAAGGGTTAGTACTAGCCCTGATTGGTATAGTTCGTATCATGTATGCAACATGTTTGACCTGTGCGGAGGAGACTGGCATGTGTCGGAAACAAACCACGACCGTGCTCCGGCCCTGCTCCTGTTGCTCTTGGCTGTTGATCAATCACGCACAAGAGTCTCGGTTCCAGACGGTAGAATAACGAGCACGCCATGGCGGAGTATGGAGCGGAGGTCTAAAAAGACCTTCCTCTGCTTTGTCCTACACATTCCGTCTGGTGAGTTTATGGATTTTTGGCTCTCCGCCCACCTAATACGGTAACTATACGTGATTTATCGAGGTCTAGTTACGAGACTACACGCCACTCGGATGCTTTCGATCCATCTGATCGTCTTCTGTATGTAGCTTTGGGGGGGAGAACGCCAAAGTTCCCCTTCTCATCCTCCGTATGTGGCATCGGAGAAGAGAGCGCCACCAATTCAAGGGGCCGTATTTCCTCCGCCGCTGTGCGCTGCCAATATGTCATATTGACGAACTGCAGGCGACCGGCTTTCTCGCACATATACAAAAGCCCTCCAAATATCCGACTTGTCTTGCACATCGGCCTCACAGCTCACCATAAGTTCTACCACCCGACCTCGTTCATGTCTTCCGTCATGCATACATCTTCCATAACGTATGTCCAATCCGTACCACTTGTATTCGTAGATCTGTGACTTAGTATATGCGTTACAGCACTCAAGTTGCCGCCGTTCACGAGCCAGTCGGTACTATTATCCTGAAGGACTCGGTACGCTGCCGTTCTTGCGCAAGTCTGTCCAGCGCTGACCATTCTTGCAGTCCATTGCATCCGTGTGTCAGGCAGTCATTGGGCGATTCATAGATGAAGCCCAGATCAGCTTTCCGGAATACACTCGTGATCTCGAGCTTGAGGCCCGGGTGAAGGAGATCGTTCACTCATGGGGAAACGAGCAACTCCTTCGCCACTATGTAATCACGGTCCCCACGCTTGCCGTCACGGCGTACAGCCACATTACGAGCATGGACACAAAAGTGCTGATTACTTTATTCACGATAATTATCCTTGCGATGGACGACCCCGCCGTGCTGGACTCACTCTCATTCCGCGAATTCCACCAGAAGATGTGCATGGGTGTCGTACAACAAGAAGCTGGTATGTTGGGCGAGCTGACGAAGGTCCTCAAGCAGATGTGGGACCACTATTCCGCATTCTCCGCCAATTCCATCTATGTGTCAACCCTTCGATTTGTGAACGCGTCCATCCTGGAACACGATGCGCAAAACGAGCCACTGCGGAGAGGTGCACTGCCATTCGTGGAGTACAAGCGGAGCATGTCTGGGACTACTGAGGCATACGCCTGTTTTGTTTGGGAAAAATCCAAGTTTCCGGATATCAAGGAATACATGCAAGCCATCCCGTGAGTACTGTTCTGTCCAATCTCGTAAAGTATATTGCCTCACTGTTGTTTTGGTCATTCAGCGATGCCATGCTCTATGTGAGCTACGTAAAGTAAGCAAGCGTTAACAATTCCTTCTGGGATGAAGACTAATTTTGGTCCTTCCTTGCGCTGCAGCGATATCCTCTCGTTCTACAAGGAAGAACTTGCAGGCGAGACCGGCACTTATATCCACGAGCGTGCAGCCATCTGCGGGAAGTCTGCTGCAGAGACACTGAACGATGTTGTCGACGACACATTGGCAGCAATAGCGCGAGCCCGCACAATCCTCGGCGAGGGACCAGCCAGGGACGCGTTTGAGAACTTCGCAGCAGGGTATATCAGGGTGCATACTGGAAACCCACGATATCGGCTAAAGGATATATTGGGAGGAGAATACATATTAGATGTAGGCAACCATTAACCGACCGATTCGATACTGTCTTCGTATCTTCAGACACCTAGAGCTATTGTCCGCCTCTTGCGCAGTAGTGTATAAGGCGCGTTCCATTAATTTATGTACTGTAGAAATAGAGAATTTTGTAATCTATCACATCTCGAGGATGTCTGGTAAACGATGAGTCCATGGGCCTTCACGCTTCTTGCATCCGCAACAAGTTACTCTGACTGCGCGAACAACTACACCTTCCATCCTCGGACGATCCACAAATAAGCGCAAATAGTATCTGCTTGTGCCCGATCGTCGGCACCACCATTGTATCTCTTCTCCAGCCGGTGGCACTGGGCCACTTCACCCAAGATATCTTCAAGCTTTGAGGTTATGTCCAAGTCGTCTCTGTCTACTGTTGTCTCAAACCTCGTTCGAGCTCAATTGGGCACGTCTGTCTCAAGTACGGTTACGGACGAAGACCTGGATCATCATGTCGCCGAGCTCATCTTAAAGGAGGCTAAGCAGAAGGCGGAACGATATGGGAAAGACGGAATTCGTGCGTACTTGCCAAGTGGATAGTGAGTACGAGTCCTTATATGCACAGTACCTACAGCGTTCTAATGCAGCCGGCTTGTAGTTCAGAGAGCAATGTTCCCAAGGCAAACAAACGGTTTCTGTCGTCTATAATTCGCAGTACAGACGATCACAACAAGACGATTCTCCGTGCGCAGGCTCTCGCAGCACAGGAGGTGAGGGTAGAGCGAGAAGAGCAGGAACGTCGGGAAAGACGCGCTCGTGCTGAGGAGGCAGTCGCTGCTGAACGAATGAGGCGGTCGATGGGAACTAATAGGAGGACAGATTGGGCACACAATTGGGATCACGGCGACAAGCGTGATCGGAAGCGAAGAGAGCGGAGCTGGGATAGCGGGGACGAGGACGATTATGATGGCGAGAGAGAGCGACGGTCAGGGAGGCGTGATCGTGAGCATCGCCATCGTCATCGACCAAAGTCTGGAGAGCGCCACCAACGCAAAGACGACGACCGTCGGTCAAGAAGATCCCGCGGCCGCGACGAAGACAAAGGCGAAATCAAGAGCAGGAGACATAGACGTGATAGACGACGAAGTCGATCCAGATCGCCCGACCATTCTCGGGAGCGTTGGTCGGACGATGATGATACCCAACGGAAACGACGACGAGAACGTAGTAGGGAGCATCGGCGAGATTATCGTCCGAGTCCGTCCCCTTCTGCGGCAGGCCCATCCCGCCGGCATTCTCGCTCCTCTGGGCGTTCAAGTAAGCACCCCGCTACTGCCTCAGATGTCGACGGCGAGCGCAGCAACCATGCCGGCGAAGACGCATCCTCTCGTCCAGAAGGTGGGCTCTCTAGGGAGGATGAGCTACGGGCACAGCTCAAGCGAAAAGGCAAAGCAAAGCCGAGGGAAGACTCAACAAGTCGACGAAACTCACGTTCAGCCAGCCCCTTCAAGTTGGTTGATGGTCAACCTGATACGAAGGTGCCGTTACAAGACAGAACGTTCAAATCTGCGTCATCCTCTTCGCGCGCGCACGCCTCAGCTGTGAGCACCCCTCGTACTCCACCTCCACCAGCGGCGTCTCCTCCGCCGCTTCCACCACCGTCTGTACCATCCAAGATGGACAAGTACTTCGAGTCTTCGTACGACCCTCGACTTGATGTGGCCCCTTTACCACTGCCTCAGGTGCCCTCTACTGGCCTGATTGACGATGCTGAGTATGCGGGATGGGATGCTATGCTGGAAATTATTCGGCAGCGACGAGAAGACAAAGCTGAGAAGAAGGTTCTTGAACGGTGGGGTCTGGATAAGGACAAGAGCAAGAAGCGGAAGAAGGGAGACGATATTACGCCCGCTCTCTGGTCGGAGGGAGGATCGGATATAATGAATATTGAGTATAAGAAGAAAGGCTCGGTGCGAGAGTGGGATTTAGGGAAGGAGGGGTTCTAGGGCAATTCTGCGAGGTGTGGCGTTATTTACTCGTCTTCCAAACCTCCTTATATCTTCCGTTTCTAAGTAGACAGCTTGTCGCATATTGGATTACACTAGAGCTGCATCACATCTGGACGTCACTATTATGGCAACTTTAATTTGGACTTGTGCGTGAAGTTGACACGACCGATCATCAGATTCAGTGGTCTCGATGATCTCTTTATAATTGAATTCATCAGTGCCAGACTCGCAGTCATTGCTCACATTTCGCAGGTGCAAAACTGAGGATTGTTACGATCTTTATCCAAATTACAGTATCTCCCAATCATTCACTACGTGAAGCTGCGCATCCTATATACGGTGGTCTCGTCGTCAGACGTTAAGGGACGAGAAGAGTATACGTAAGTGGTAAGGTGCGATACGGTGGTGCACAGCCACATGACCGTGAGCCTGAGGGAGAAACACTCATTGACAATTCAGGATGGCTCGCATCTTTGTCACCTTTCATCTTTCTCAATCTCTCAGGATGGAACATACAAATTGTAGTCAAGTGCGACTTCAACGAAATCCCTGTCGAGATAGCACTATCTATCAGCAGACATCTCTCCATCATGGTCAAAGTAACCCTCGCCGATACATGCAGGGCATGTCATGGGCTTCTTTCGGATGAAGACTGTCTATAAGTATGTACCAACGCTGGTTTGAGTCAAGTAGACGGTGCGGGTGCCCGTGCAATTGTGAAATTGCTCTTCCAACCTCATGGTGGTGTTTGCACTTGGTCAAAGAAAGATGAAGTTCCAAAAGGTGATTGTGATATCTAATCCTTCCTGTCTTCTCGCTTAATATTTTGGTTCAGGAAAGCCTGGACTTCAGCCGTGTCTATCCTGTCTTGATGGCGGTCAGTTAGTCAGTCCAGGTACCCCTGCGCTCTGTTATCGAAGCATCAAAATACTGTACATCGACGAACCACCCTCGTACGAGCAACTCACCATGCGAGTCAGTGCGGTGGGTGAACAGGATATTCTTCTTTGTGAACACCACTTGTATATATCACCTATCCGCTCCTACAAGAACTGCGTATCTTAATCAAGGAAAATGAGGGCGTTCTAGAACATGGTCTCGTTGCGTCTCGTGTAGGCTCTTCAATTGAATAGTCGCAAGGCCCACTCATATATGTATTTGAACTTTCTGCAAGATGATAAAGCATCACTAGTGAGCCAATTTTGGCCATCAAGCATGCCAGAGTGATCTCTATTGGTGATCACGATCTCCAAACAAGAGCTCGAATGCGAGCTGCCCCTTTACGCCCGTCGATGATCTCACTCTTATCGTTTTTGCTACAGGCGTCTCGATCTCGCGCATGGCCAGTTTCCTTGGCGAACTTGATCATGGTCGCGAATATGGTTCCCCGAGACGAATAGAGCCCGAGTACATACCGTTCTGCAGTGCCAGCGCGAAAAGATGACAATTTAGGATTCTGGACGGAACCCACACAGGTTATCAGCTTCTGGCAGTTAGAATTGGTACCATTACGGCCAATACACCAGCATTCGCTCACAATTTCCTTGTTCTTTCATTCTTTTATTGATGCTGGCGGTAGGGTGCAACCCATTGCACACTGTGATGCACCTGATCCGTGACATTTAAAGACATTCTCGCGTATATTTGAATCGTTGCACTTGCTAATCTGGATAACTGCGAGCTCGCAAGCGGAGCCATACTACCGGCGCCATATGCATCACTATTCGCATGCAGCTCAGTGAACTGAACTGTCCCTTCAATTTTGTTGAGGCCATTTAAACTTAAATACATTCCACATTCATTCAAGATAGCCCCCCGCTCGTATATGCTACCAACGCAGGTGCCGCACCTCACTACGAATTTACAACCTCGCGAATTACTACAATCTCTTCTGCCGATAGTTGCTCAACAATAGCAGAGAAGTCGTTGATATTGTGGGCCGCACATTCCCGGAAGAATGCTAGTAGATGATCCTGGGTAGATTGAAGAATCATAGGGATCACATTCACTAATTGGATGTTTATGGAGACGTACCCGTAAATCAATCTGACACACGGGGTCATTCTTTAGATCTTCGTCGTCTGGAGGTTCAAGCGCGTCGTCAAAGTCGAACGGAAGACCCCCAGGTGTCAGATATTCAGACAAGACGGCAAACTCGTCGTCTCTGAGTCCACCTGGTTTCATCTGTGACCCCTCGGGCTCATCCTCCGCCCAGTCGCTATCCTGTACCTTGTCGTAAGCGGCGCCGTTGGCAGTTGTATGCACGCCGAACTTACACCATCATCTGATTCAAGATCAGACATCCTTCCTAATCGCTTGGATGCAGCTTCTCCACCAGATTGCAGCTCGCTCAAAAGCATCTTCACGGCCTTCACCGGGAAAGGGAGTGAAGTGAACTCTGTAGGAACTAAAACGCGTCCGGCTGTCAAGGCGTTGTTACACTTAGCAGCTGTTGAACCGATTGCACTTACCTGTCTTTGTCTTGGAACGAGTCATGATTACTACAACGACAGGGGTCAATTCAAACCAGCTACTTGCAACGCATTCACTGACCGTTTTGAGTTTCAGGTTTGATGATGAGATCACCTTTCACGACGATGCTCTGCAAGCTTGGACGACCAGATGCATACAAGGAGCTTAATGCGAGCGTGCTAATTCGCTGAGCCCAAAATCCTTGGAATGTTTCCTCGTTCTCGCACCACGTTTGAATCAAGATATCCAATCCAGAACGGCTGTCCACACTGATCGACTCCAACAGCGAGAGGACAGTATCGCGTTGATTATGCAAGAGGAATGCGAACGGAATAACCAAACTCTATATGGTCTGTGAGGAGAAAGTTTTAAAATGGTTTAGAAAGATGATTTACCTGGATGAACGTCGCCGTCTTGGCGCTTATCATACGACCGAGCATTGCTTGCAATAGATCAGGTAGGATGGGTACCACAGCCTCACCCGCCTTGCGGAACAGGTGGATGATCATATCACCCATTGCGAGACCACCAGATTCGTCTTGACTCCTCATCTGCTTCGCGATAACAGCCAGCACGCTGTCTAAACCAGCCTGACCAGTGGTCGGGTCAGTCCAGGATTGCAATTGTCCGAAATCCTTTCGAATGATCAAAGTAAGACATAAGATGCCGTTCTACGAGATCGTCAGATGGCTCCAGACAGCTTGAAAGTTACCCATACAAATCATACCTGAATCACATCACGGTCTTCGATTGTTCTCAAAGCCAGGAACAGCCCCGGAGAAAGCAACCCGACGAAGCCCTCACCGAGACCTGTCTCCGGTGCACCTCTTGCAAGACTGCTCGCAAGATCAATGGCAGCACCGGTAATCCAGTGCTCCTTTTCTGTCGATGCCGTGATTGCATTACTCAATGCAGGAAGTGCCCGTCTGACAACCGTCTCGTAGACATCAGGAGCTGAGGATGACGCGAGAGAATCGAGAATCTCTGTCAAGACAGATATGAACAAAGGATCTGCCAGTTGATTGTTAGTATAATTGCTTCTTGTGCTTTGATGAACCAAACACACCCTTATTGTTCCTCATCCATACGTCCAGTACTGCACCAACTAGGGAATCGGCCAGATCAGTAGTCATCCACTTTCCATCATCTATCTCCACAATCACAGACAGCGCCTCCAGAACAAGGGATAGGGTATCGTCAGAGGTAACAGAAAGGAAGGGTCCCACTGCCTTCGCTATCCGTGGAGCTACCGATACGAGTAACTGTCCATCAATCTCTTTGCAGAAACTAGCCATTCATTAACACCAACCCTCGTCAGATTTGGTCAGGACATACTTATGTACTGCGCGTACGGCAGATACTTTGATCGGAACATTGGCTTCGCTTGCCTCTAAGACCTGAACAGTGGCATGAAGATATTCACCCGCAAGCTGAGTAGGTAATACTTTCGTGAATTGGCTCGCGAAAACAAAGGCGCGACCTTGTAGGAATGGGCAATCTGAGCAATTCCAGAATCAACTTTATCCATGAAAGTACGGAGGCTGCGTTTACCAGAGAGCCCGAGGAGATTAGGTATGACATTAGTAAGAAGAGCCTGGATATCGATGGGATTTGGACGACCAGAATCAACTTCGTCATCAATCCATTCTAATACCGACTCCGCCTGCGAGCCGAGAGCTGTTAACATGGCCTCAAGCAATCGCCACCTACACTGAATAATGAGTACTTGGACTGATTCTGGCGGACTCGTAACTCACCAGTCGGGGTTGCCAATACTCCTCGCTTGGTCTGACAAAGATGTGACTTCTTGAATCGACCTCTGCAAAGCGGCCATTGCAATAGGCCGGAAGCCGTCAACCAGAGCCTATAATAGATGGATCTCAGCGGCAACTAGAAACAGGCAATTACAGAACTCTACCCCAAGCATATCGAGCCCAGCCACCCGCAGGCTGAACGCGAATGAATCCTCTGCCTCGTTTGCAACGAATGCGTTAGCATTACCAGCCCATTCTTCTTCCTATCATAAAGTCATGCGATAAATAAATCGTACAGCATAATATCATAACAAACGGCATACTTCGTCTTGTGTGATTTGTATCCAATTCAACACCGCAATCAGCAGTGCTTTAGTATTATCTCCGTTGAGCCATTCCTTCCCTTTACCTCCTCGTGTGAGGACCGAAATGAGGTCCATGATGGAGGAGAAGAGCTGCGAAAGCTCTGTTGGTTCATTTTCTGAAGGGGTGGGAATGGGCTCTTGAGCAAGGACATAGAAGTGTACGAACGTCGGGAAAAGTAGAAGCAGATGGTTAAGAGATGAAGCAAGAAAATTGTTAATGTATGGCTGGAGCACACGTGCAAACGGTGCATGTACTGCATCTAGAGCCTATGGTCCATACAAAATTCAATGTCAGTTCACGTATGAAGAAGGCTACAAACTTTATAGATCTGAATCCGCAACGCTATCCCGTCCCAGTTTGGTCTGTTTTCGACATCTTGTCTTGGATCAAGTTCAAGCAAATATTTGAATGCGTCGAGCCATGGAGGTATCACTGTGGCAGCAGCCTCTTTCACAGCTTGTGGATGCTGAGATTTTACCATAAACAACGTCTCTACGCAGCTCCGAAATACAGAGACCGCGCGAGCTCGTGTAAGAACAGAGTGTTTCTCATTATAAGGATCAAGCTTTAGACAATGTTTTTGAAGTAGAATGAGGTACATACTTCAATAGCGCCTAAAACATTGAGCAAAATGGGAAGGAGTTGGCGAAGAACAGGTAAGATTTGATCTTCTGTAAGATCAGTCTTGATGAGTTCCGCCAGCACTTGCATAGCACCGTGAACAGAGGGGGGAGAATCAGAGGATAAGAGCCCAATCAGTGTATTCAAGAGATCAGGCCATTCGTCGGGCCAATCCGCATTCGCTATAGTTGAGACGATTTGCGCCTGAACACACATGATACGTCGGATATGGACATTCATATCGTGAGGGATACTTACGCATAAAGATCTAATTTTGCTCTGCGAATCAGAAAGTCCTTGGAAAACGATAGGGCGTATTTGGTCTTTCGCCTAACATAGAGAATTTAAGCCATTTTCAGGGTCCCATGTTGGAACACAACTGCAAGTGAAGATATACTTACCAGAATAGAGATACCGGATCCTTTCCAGCGTGGCAATGCAGGTGACCAGCGATTTTCAATGAATTTTCGTAACATGATGCACGCTGAGTGCTAAGACAACATGTTTGCCATCAAGCTTCGCCCACTCCAGTTCTGACTATCAGGACTTATCTGTCGTAACTCAATTCCGGCGTCCTGGCGGAGAGCCAAGTGAGAAAGACATAGGCCTGCTTCTGATGAGCCGTTTTGAGATACGAGTGCTGAGATCAGAGAGGGGCACGCGACGGAGAGATGGCGACACCAACCTGGAGAAGCTAGCAGATTGTTCAGCTTAAGCTCCGCAGACATGCGGATATTGGAATCGGAGGAGAGTGTTTCTGAGAGGCATTGCTGCAGCTCGCTTTCAGACATTGTAACAGGAGAGAGACGAGCAGAAGGGGATGGACAAAGCTGCAGCTCTGGACGGCGGCTTTGCTTCGACCGTCAGGAACGCACGCGACGCGTTGAGTCACATGCACAGTCGCGATCGTGGCGCCGCGCCACTGCCAGTGGTTCTTACATCTTCAGTCTTCAGCCATTTATTCTCGCTATTAACAATGCTATACATGAGATATATCATTTGTTACTGGATTGGCGGAATTTCTGCCGTGGAAAGTGTTGAATTATGTTCCTATTGGCTGTTTAGTGCAGTTATGTACATTCAGACGAATAGGTGCGTTATTCCACCACTTCAACTTCGCGCATACTGCCAGCCTGGGATGGAGGATTCCGCTCCAGCGACCAAAATCCAGCGTCCCATCTGTTGTTGCAATTTCATCGTTGAAGTTTAAGTATTTCTGAGTGTCGTAGGACTCAGTTGCATCTGATGGAAGAGAAGTGAACGGAAAGACGACTCATGGTGAAGGGGCACGTTCGAGAGCGAGGGGAACGTTTCGGGGTGATTACCGCCCCGCAATAACATTTATTTACACTCTGCATGTACCCTACGGTATGGAGTATAAACCCTGGAATTAAAATAAATAAATAAAAAAGACTCATGGTGAAGGTTGGATCATTGTCACTGAACACGCGGGTGATCGGATACCTTGGGTGATCGCAGTCATGCCGACTCGACCTTGGGTGGGACGCGGTATGGTGCGTTATAATATAGGCATGCTAGAAACGAGTAGGTACGATACCGAGAGACCCGATGCGACGAGTATGACTCTATCCTTCGCAGTGGTTGTCGGCGGCGCGGCAGCCAACCAACTCATGCTCGTGCGAACCGTAGCAATTTGCCTAAATGATAACCGAACATACTGTGTCTGAGTCTGGACGGCCTCAAGAAGATTTACGCCAGAGCTTGCTAATGTCAACTCAGACGAACACGTTGCTATCTCAACAGAGAAATGACTCCAGTGGGAGAAAGTCCATTTGCAAGGGAGGAAAAGTGTACCCAATTCGGCTGGGACCGATGCCTTTCTATCGCAAGCAACTGGAGATTTCATTGTTGTGTATCGAGCTGTGCGGCGAAAGGTGGAAGATGCCTCTGCTGTGCATTGCATGATCAATCAAAATGGCGTATCACATTGTCCAATTTTGTACAGGGGAGGTCCATTACGGACATAAGAAATATAAAATGCAATACTCTATGCACCCTGACTACCTTTTGGGGCGGCTGCATCCCAATCCTTGTCTGTCTCGGTGTGTAAAGGTAACCCGCGCATGAGTAGACTCGCCACGAAAGCGACCGCACTGATTATGAGGTACACTCGCCAGACGACTGCAAGACTGTCTGCAAATGCCGTTTGGACCTCCCCTCGAAGCGGCTCTGACAAGTCGCGGATATGGGGAATGGCAGAGTAGGCAATATTTGTGCCTTTCGGGAATTGTGCATAAAATGCGGCGGGCAAGCGATTTACGAGTCCATTTTGTAATATCGCTCCGCCTACAGTAACGCCCCAGATCTGCACCGTAAGGTTCACGTTTAGTATGATTCGTTCGCGAAGTACAGCATCTATATTTGACGTACCTGGCCGAATGTGCGGAAAAACACATAAAGTGCCAATGCTGGCGCATTTGCAGAGATGGGGAGCGGCGCAAGCACGGGGAAATATGCAGAGCTGTAGGTGAACCCGAAGCCAGTGCCTATGATTACCTGATATCCAATCCACAAGCCTACTCGTGAGTCTGCGCGAAACGTTGTAAATAAGCCAAAACCAATGGTCAACAAGGCCCATCCAGCCCAAATAGGCGGCCGATAGCGTTTTGTTCGCATGATCATGCCTCCAGATACGATGCTCATTGGTGCAATTACAAGAGCCCCACAGAGCATGTCCACGCCAGAGGATGTTGGGGAGGCAAGCTTGCAAGCTTGGAAGTACACTGGGAAGTAATCTATAGCACAGATTGATTAGTGGGGATTTGATCACGGATAGCGCGACGAACTTACAAGAAAGGCCGATGAGGCAGATGGATACCAAAGTGGTCTGCACGTAGCTATCAGAGTAACTGAGCTGATATGAATAACACGATGCGATGTACTTGCTCACCCGCTAAGGCTGGTCCGGTTTCGGGTGAGATAGAATGGGACCTGGTGACATCGATCACCAATTTATCATATAGTTTGGGATGGACGAAGACGTACAAGAGGATGCTTGGCGAAGAGGCCTTCGTACAGCCAAAATATACCCAAACCAACGAACCCGATACACAGAGGCGCAATTACTCTTATAGATTTCCACGGGTATTCAACTCCACCCCAGGTCAAGCCAATGACAATAGACGTGGCACTAGCCATCACGATCGCATTACCGCTGTATGCAGGCAGTTAGCCCTACGAGCTTCTGATCATAGGAACGACGCATAATTGTCTCACTTACATCCAATCAATGCGCTTAAATTTTGAACGCAAGTCCCCGTGCGGGGTAGGTAGCTTGACGAATATCAACACGAGCGCTGCAGACAAACCCGCACATGGAATGGTCATATCTATGATTCAGATAAGAATCCCGTCGTTAGGCGGTCATCTTTATAGTCTGAGATCATACTGACAGAACAACCATCGCCAATTTCCGCTCTGCGCGAAAGCGCCTCCTACTATTGGTCCGAGTCCGGATGCAGTGCTCCACGCGCTGGACAGAACATTCAGGAGTTGCTTTAGATTAAACTAACACCGCACGCACATGCCTAGCATTGCGTTGTAGATACCACGCTCACGGAGTGGAACCAAGTCAGAGAGGATGATTGAACTAAGCGTGTATACGCCACCAGCCCCGAGGCCTTGTATGGCTTGATATAGTGTAAGTGATGTGCGGCAAGTTTAAGGGGGGAAATGGCGCACTTCGTCCCGTGAATATCATAGCTTCTCCGTTGGATGCACCAGAGACAGCACTTCCAATAGCAAACAAGGTCAGAGAGGCGAGCATGACGGGCCGCCGGCCGAAAATCTACTACCTGAGTAAATAGACTGGTATGTGGTTAAAATGAGACAAGCCAACCTGAGCTAGCCCACCACTCAGGGGAAGCCATGCAGTAGATGCTAATTGATATGCCGAACCAATCCAGGTAAACTGAGAAATCCTTAAGTCGCTTGCAACTGTTGGAAGAATAGTTCCAACAGACGTCTGTAAAACATCTCAGTGAATACAATGAATAATTGAAGAGCTGTAGACTTACAGCCTCAAGCACGACCACGAATACGGAGATGATGAGTGCGGCGAAAATGAGCCAGAACGAGGCTGGCTTGCGCCTGGAGGTCGGCTCTTCCAGTTTCAGGTTGCTTTGTAGGCCTTCATCACTTCGTTTTGAGTCTGTATCTTTCATCGCTGTTGCAGACGTATTCACAGACAGACAACTAATGGGATTCTTGCTGGTCAGTGCAGGTTCCATGGTTCCAAGATAAGCAAGATGAGAACACTGGCGAATATAAACCTCCTCATGACTCGGGACGGTCCGAGCAGGGGAAGCACATCCTAGAACTACCTTCGCCGCATGGAGTCCGCATTCACGGAGATTGCTATTTCACTGAACGTGGGTACTCTTGACATGAAATGGAGATCGAAGATGCGCTAACATCTGCCAATGGAACAGCATCCGTTCTGTATACATCACATCAGATCGAGCAATAGGATCCGACCACCTTGATACAACTTGATATGCCCCCCGGGAAGTGCGGACTAATTGTCGTGTAAAATGAGAAGTCAGAGAGAAGGTAGGCTTCAATTTCAGCCTCTGTCCGCTGCCCAGGTTTACGTAGTCTCGGTTCCAGAAATAGCAGTGTGGCTGCGCTACGGCGGTTCTCGAGTGAACGTCGAAAAACGGCTGCAGCTGAGGCACCCCTGTACCGCTGTTTTCGCATGTACGCAGCTCGGTGTTCGCCAGCCATCTGATTTTGAAAGTAAGTAGCAAGTCCTTAAGCTTGATCAGGCAAGACTGAGCGGGCATACACTGGTCTCGTAGTGACGGCATAAGCTACCCGGACATGAAACTATTCTTTGTTGTGACCTGTCTGCCGCAATTGGCCCATTGATGACTCATGCATGATATTGGTTCGAGTTGTTTCCATGACCTAGATGTTCTCAAAGACGCTCTCATGCTTGAAGGCAGGCCGCCGTACGTGGAGAAAACGTCGATTTCTGGAGACAGCAACATTTCTGAACCACTGTGTTCGGGGCTCTAACGTGTTATCTGGAGCATTGCGGAAACATCCGTGTCCAACCAATCAGCGCTTACCAATCACTTCACCCAGCGTTTGACCTCCGCACTATGAGAACTTGCGATCCGGGCCCCCAGTGCGAGCTCATGTTTGTCATTTGGACTTCGGGTATTGCCCGTAGTAAGATCTCGCATGTCGAAGACACATATGAGTACGGGACCAATTGACCGCGAAGATTCGAAGCCGTGATATTGCTCGCGGTGAGACCATACCGGGGACTCATCTAGTAAGCGTGGTCAGCTTTGGCCCCACGTCGACGCCACCGGGTGCTATCCGAGTCACCAATCATTAGATACCAGCCCTATGGAATCATGGTCCTGCTGACCGTTTGTTTGTTTGTAAATCTCGCTTATAGTCCTCGAGGGCATGGCCCTATGTAGACTATAGCTCCAATAGTTTAACTAATATAACGAGTAGGCTAACGATGATCGAAGGGGAGACATTAGCTCTGCTGACCGTTGACTGACCAACTGCGCCACTATTTTCCTTGATCCTTACGTTTTATTATGAATTATATCACTTGGTAAGTAGCTGTATATCTACTCAGGAGTATATCACTGACACTAGCAAGTCAGTCATCAAGCACGAAGCACTCAGTCATCGTCGCACGGGTCAAGTCCGATTTTGAGATGTGTTCATCGCGGGCCGGAGTTCCCAATTATGATATCAGACATATCAAATCAACATCAAGTCAATGATTGTGATCGTGAGCCTGTCGGATACTACGGAATACTGTCACGGCGATGTGTATTCAATGACCTAACCCAGTCTGGCTGTAACTCGTATGTTCTTCCGCGTGCTCGAGTCATAGTGCAGGCACTCGCAGAAAGGTGAGGTATTGCTATATGTCAGGGTGAGCAGTGGTACGAATAATTATTGATAGTGCAAGGATGGCATTGACACGCACCCCTATATTGGACTGGTGTCATCGGTACTACATGGAGTTCCTAGACATTCCAGATAGCTAGTGACCAAGACATCTGGGATCTAAGCTTACTTACATTTTTACCATTTATCTCGTCTTTCGGACCGCTTTTATTCGGACTAAACTATCATCAACATCATTCCTTGGAAGTATCTGGCGGAATGCACCTCGTGCAAGTGTATTGCAGCCGTTACCAGGAACACCACAGAATTGTATTCAATGGAGATGATGAACGAATTCAATTGAGGTATGTGTCATTAGGCTGGGTATATCGTGCTGTCCTGATCATCTGGTCATTGCCTTTGCCACAAATCGCAAAGGCAAACACTTGGGGTGTTCGTTCCTCGGGTCGCATCTCAGCCGTATCAAATTACCAGAGCAGGCTTTATACATGGTATTCAAGCTCTCACGACGAAGAATGCAGTCCACTGAAGCGTGGAACCTTGATATGGTGCATGCGTTCACTTACGCTTTTGGGTGGACTATAGCGTGGTGTCTTTAGTGTCTGCCTAACTGCGATGTCTTCGGCGTTGAGTCTGCGGAAGATTGAGGTTGAACTGATGCTTTATCACAATGCAGGGGTATCATAACGCAAGGACAGCAGATATCTCCTCGGCAAGATGTCAGTATGTTTCATATCAATTCTTCTAATGATTTGAGTTCGTTGGACCAAATGTATTGAGATCCGGGGCCGTTGACTCTTCGAGATTTGATACTCACCAACATGCGCTGTGCATATGCCTTGGTCTAGCTCCGAACTTGGCTGTGCAACTCAATGATAATTTTTCTCCGAGATGGTACTGTATGTTGCGGATGGAGCTTTTCCTGTATTCTTACTATATGTACCTTGGCTCTTCCGTTCTTACTCGCTCACCAAACACATGCCCCTGTAGCCCGTTGACATGGATGCTCAGTTGAACGCCCAAGAACTTGAACTTATACTTGCTGGCATGCAAAATGCTAGGTACCTTGCTCTTAGTGTTTTCGCGCTTGTAGTATGCGAGTATCTATCGAATCTAGAACTGGAGGTCAGTAGCCTCCTTCATCCTGTCTACGGTCCTCCCTGACTGTGTTTATAGGTGGAGTACTTTTGGTCAGGTCCCTGGTCCCTCTCACGTATCATGTTCATGATTGTCGGTATTTCGCTTATATTTCACATTCCATTGACATTGAGCGTGACAACCTCCAGAATCGATACTTAACACCTATTGTAATCGTGTGAGTTCCTCTCCAATTCTGCTATCCTCCTAGATTTTCACCCTGGCTATTCACAGGCTAGGTGTCGTATGTGAGCTCGATCCTGCATGATTTGGATGAATAGTGTCTTAAAAATTGAACTCCAGGTCTTGTTGCGCCCAATCTCTCGGATAAAGTAAGTCTATCACATATAAGTCTCAGTTTCTATGTCTAAAACCAAGATAGTTGTAAGCATCTAGAATCCGCTCCTTCAAATACTGATATCCTCTTCGTCCACCCGCTTCCTAGTTGCTCCTTGGGTGTAACCATAATTTATGCTCTGAATGTGGTTGGAATCGCTGTCGTTCAAGGTATCACTATCGTCGCATGTCATATATCTTGTCTGATGGAACTTCAAAGTAATAATCGTTTGCAGACTTTGGTATATTTTCTCTACAAGATCCAACATAAGACTCTTGATCGTAGGCGCTTGCGCCATTGCAATATCGTCTGGCGTTGCATTGTTTGGAAGAATTTGTCCACAGCTACTTTTAGCTCAGGCTAGTCCTCTACAAGGTTGCCTAGTTTCGCCGCCGAACAAAACCTGGCAGATGTTTGTACCTAATTTGATTTTGCATACTATATTGTTCGCTGCTACTACTTGGCCGGCTCTGCGATTGAGGCACCGTGGCAGATCATCTCCATTGTCAGACCGTCTTGTTCGAGAGTAAGCTGTTCTTTTCTTTTGTTCGCATGTGACTAATGAAGTCCCACAGCGGGGGCATTTTTTACGCTTTAGTCTTCGGTGTGTCGCGGTTGAATATCCTATGTGATCTGTCTAATATCGTATTGCGTCATTAGCCAGTTCGCTTTTCATGATGATTGGTTCGCTTCCGTCGGAATCATATCTGGTAAATTATTTTATTTGAACATATGTTGTCATCTGATCCTCGTGCTCGTACAGGTATTGATACCAGCAACATTTTCAGGGTAAGAACATATTCACTGCTACTGTTCGATTTCCCTACCCTTCGCTAGCTTCTTTCTAGCGATTATTTCAGTGTCCGTATCTAGATTGATGCTGAGCATCCGCTCATTAGCCGCATCTCTCTCTATGGATCCCGACTCGCTCCTCAGTGCCGCTGAACTGAGCCGTGTACGATGGAAACAGGGTGCACGAGAGGGTGAATTGATAGTAGAGGTTGATGTGGTTGAGGAAGATCAATATCCACTGGACAGCCTGCATCATCACAGTGCGGGATTGTATACAAGTCGGGTTGGGGTATACGACGGTATGCAGATGCCCGGTGCAGGGCACCTATATACGACAAAGTCCGATGCAACCACAGCATCGGTGAGCAGCCAGGCCCCCCTGGTACCATTCCGCGTTAGTAAGTTACTATACCTGTCCTTCTGCTACTTAACAACGACACTGACGTGCTCGGCTTCAGTCTAGACCGTTACCAGAGGAACCGAAAGGCAGTAGGATCCATATGCTGTCAACCAAAGAATATATATATATATATCCACATGTGCTGAAGACCTACAGCTCGATTTCTATTTCTACGTATGTAACACTCAACATGAGTTCATTCTGCTATACAATGTATTAGAATGGTGTGAATGATGTATGATTATTGGAAGATTGACTCAAACGATGGTCCTACTCACCTTAATTGCTGATTTACTGATGACCTGACCACCAACATAGTGTAATTACAATCTTCTATAGTAAAAGAGCCAGGCCCCCTCATATGGTTGATTTTCCTCTTAAGGTGAATCTGTGATGCACTTTGCTCACACAAGTGGCACTCTAACCTCAACATTGAAAATTGAAATAAACCCCCAACTAGCAGAGCAAGCTAGTGTTTGACAGCTCAATGACCAACTGAATCACATCAATCACTGAAGTTTGCCATGCCCACAAGCCCACAATTGCAGCATGAACAGAAGTAAACTTTAAATGGGAGCACATATTATTCCTGATCCTGAATTCCAGGGGAAGCAAATGCATTGAAATCTGGTTGTGATGAGTCAGCATTGGCTGCAAAAACATATATGAGCACACTATGCTGCTGCATTTTGTATCAGACCACTTGCATCATGTGCATCTTGAACTTCTGTCACTCAGATTGGTGCTTCAGGGTGCACAATGACACTGCGCAATGATATTCATATATTACATGTCATTGTGTCATTTGTTCTGCACACTCACTACTCAAGCAGCACTCAGCAATAGGATGAGGTGCATATTTTGTTGTCACTTCTGAAGTGGGTAAGTGTTGAACGAATAGTGAACGCACCTACAAGTTCTATGTACAGAACTGCTA